AGTATTACTGCAGTGGGATAATGTTCAAAAAACAAACTACAATGAACAGTGTAAGTTAGAAGTTAGGCCAGCACCGAGCCAGAATTGCCTAGTTTCATTCGTTCACAGTACCAAGAATTCCGGATTGAGCCATTCACTCAATTGCAAGAATAGTAATCATATTTGAGAGTGCAAATCCATGATTAGTTTATGAAAATTTTATATCAGAAACGTCACCTTATTAATGCAACATGACTTATATAAAATGCACATCAACTTAGGGTATGTATGTGGGTCTTCTCCCAATAAACACCCACCTATACGCACACTCCATATTTCGTTCATGTGAATATCTAGCCACCCTATTCGATGCGCTGTTAACTATTCATAAACCTTTGTAATTTTTATCGAGGATGTACGCATTGGTTTAAAAACAACTGCGATACGGTTGCTTCTTTTTTCTTTTGAAAATATTATTCACTGTAGGTTTTTTTTTCTTTTTCTCCGTTTCATTTTCTTTCTTCACTCTTTTTTGCGCCTTTTCCTTTTTCTTTAATATTCTCCGTTTCTTTTTGGTCCTTCTCTATTTGCATCATAAGCGTAATGATGAAAGACAAACCTTAAGACAACATGTGAGGTAAGAAAAAAAATTGCTGCATAATCAAAGGAAAATAATTTTCTATGTAGTACTGATGCGAATAAGCTTTCTGCGTAATCACCGACGTAACTTCAAATCAGTTCTTTTTTCGATTACTAGTCGAGCAACTTCAGCTCACTAGCTCGTACAAAAAGAACGGTTGAACTGTTGGAACAGCTTATTTCTAGTAATTGAACTATTCGAACGGATGATTTTAGAGTAGAGAAAGTTTTCAATAATTCAACCCTGAGTAGAAATCTACTGACCCCTAATTTCAACAATTTTACTTCATTTCACGCTTTGCAGCTATTTGTTAATTTGATACAGTTCGATGAACGACATTCGTAGAGCTATCTCATTTAAAGTATCAGAATCAAATTTATAAAACTAATTTTCGCGAGATTCTAATATAGACAGCTTTTGAAGAGATTGTTTCATCAAGCAATGCTACTGGTAGTTCTTCCACACGGCATCAAGCAGTATATCGATTGTGTTATTTTTGCAAAAAATGATCAGCATTTCTCTGAACTATCATGTATTGATTGATAAACTTGAAGTAAAATCTGCAGCATATCAAGTTTTGCGTCAAATCATGACTTTATACATTAAAATCTTGATTTTTTTTATAATGGTGTAGATGTCAAGAGCAAAAATATCTTCCCACAATAACTAGAAAAAGATCAAGATCGTCGATTCTACAGTAGCAACAGATCATGTTTTCAAGCATATGCTGCCATTCAGGAGAAAATAAAAATAAGATAGTTCACATTGTCAGCAGTTTGTCTTTCTATGTTTTCAATGGTCTCATCATGTTGATTAGCTTCACAATTCATCAATATGACAAATGCTGCGACACAAAATGATTCGAGTCGCGTGAATAAGATATCTGTTTCTCTATACTTTAAAGAGAACACGATGCGACGTGAATGAAGTTTTTTCTTTTCTTCCAGACAGCAAAAAATATGCAAAAAAGGACGATTAGTGCCGCTAGTTTAATGTAATATTGATAAAGAGCGTCTTACTTCGTGTCAAAGATTCTTTCATCTGTAAGTCTACATCGTTATGACAAAGAACAAAATTCGAACATGCACAAACATGCTTAGATGTGTCATTTTCGTTTACTGTTTCTGGTACCTCGAATATCTAGCAGGCTCATATAAAAAGATGCACAAAGACACCTAACTATGAACGTTTCGATCGGATTCATGAATCATTACAGCATTTTGGAGAGAAATATTGATAAAGTTTATAAAACGTTAGAGATATTACAATGTTTGGTATTCCTTTGAACCTTTGAATTTTGAAAACTCAATTTGCTGTTGTTCTTTGGAAAGTAGACCATCTAGACGAAATACACTTGTGAACAAAATTATAACCTTATATGAAGATGCACTTTCTCAGCAATGAACAAAAACACCTATTGGAATAAAAGTCATTTGAGAAACAGTGAGCAATTTGTTCCGATCATTCAATTACTTCTTTTTTAAATAGCCTTGTAGCTATTTTTCTCCCTCTCACGATTATATTGCCTCGTGCACAAAAGAGAACGAACAAACAGAAAGCAGAAGTAAAAGAAAAAAGAGTAGCTAGAGAAAACGCAGCAAAATAAAGAGAAAAATATTACTATCATATATGATTGTATAAGCATGTATTCAACTAGAGAAATTTGGTTATTTCGACTACATTGAAATAGATATACCAGTTTTCTCTAATTATGTTACTAATAAAAGTAACTCATGTCATTATACATTTATCGATCTATCGAGCTGTATACCGTGAAAAATTACTCATAGCAAAAATAAATAAATAAATTTAATCGTAGAGTTATTAGCTCATATATGCAGTGCAGTTATGTTCCGTAACTGTTTAAAATATAGCCTGAATTACAGATCATTGTGACTGTGCGTGTTATAGGGAAAAATCTCACATCCATACCCATACGCTTCTAGCTCTAATATGTATTAGTTTATGGCTCGGTACAAAATTGAACGCAGATTCCTGCTATACAATGATTGTAAACTAAGAAAATCGATAAAAATCAAGCAATATGAAGAGCACTATTTATTCTAGATCATCCTTCATCTCAAGGTAATCCGAACTCATTCTCTTTCAGGTAATTCACATTCCTATTTTATCAATAATTCCGTGAATCATTCTTCATTAATTCATTCTCTGTTTGTAATTGACCCTCGAGAAGAAAACTAGTACATGTCATTCGATAATAACTCGCTCATTACGATATCATTGGTTCATGCACAGTACATTCCTGCAGTCAGAAATACCATATGTATTGCGAAATTTTCTAACCAAGCATAAAGCAAACTGCTTGATAGTAAAAGGTGTCTGGACTATCAAGTTTATTCATTTTAGAATTCCACTCTTAGGATATGTCAGCCGTGTTATCTATAGTATTTGATACGTGAAAGCCTTCTTTGAGTAGTTTATCTTTGATCCTCGTAAATGCATAAAATGAATTGTTTTATCACTTTCGATTCTATACTAAGCATGCTTGCTATTGGATATTTAGATCAAATGATTGAGAAGGGAAGGTTGAATTCGAAAGTAAATAACGATGCACAAGTTAATTGGGTTAAGCTTCGGGATATCTCGCTGTCTCAGAAAAAGTTATTACGTTCTGTGTATCATTCATGCCAATTGGAGTATCAGAGATAGAAGGCATATTTTTTATCAATTTAAATTAGCAATTGTTAATCAATTTTTATTAAAGGAAATTTGCAACGAGCGTACTGTATCCTAGATGATTAATCCTTATTCCAAAAAACTTCGTACAAAACATTGACTCAGTAAGTGACTATCTGAAAGCAGTGAGTAATAATTAAAAACACATAGCGCGATTCAGACTCGTGCTCTTTTTTTTAAAATGAACTCCACAATTTTGTACTTTCTTCTTCTCGAAAGTCATGAAACGATCATTGAAAAGTCTAAAAAATTAGTTATAACAAAAATATTCACTTACATTCCCTTCTGTGTCTTCATTATTTCCATACAAAACTACGTAAAAGATAAATTATTTTTTAATTCATCAGCTTATGCAACAAAACGTAGCTTAGCCAATATACTGTTTCATATTCTTTTAGGTTTCTCACGATGCACTTCCACGTTCATATTTCATTAATCACTCTCTTTTGAGAAAAATTTATTTTTTTTATGTCAGAAAGAAACTTCTGCAAAACTATCTATTTTGATATCTTTTAGTATCTTTATAAAGAGTTAATGGAAGCCAATAAAAAAGAACTTTTGACTTTCCAAATCAATTTTTAGATACTTCAACAAATCCATCATTCCCTTTTAGCATACATAACTTCTGTTATCATATTTCGAATGAACACTATGTCACCAGCACATAAGTACCTTTTTCTGATTCATTTTTTCATCACCTAATACGCTGTGTTTAGAAAAAAAAATCAAAATGCACCACAAGATGCAGCGTGAAAAGCTATGCAATATACAAAGGACAGCTTCTTTTATAATTGCACTTTTTGTTTTCAAAATAAACAAAATTCTGAACTACTAATTTTTGACACTTCAAGAAAAATAATTTTTTGGCACACGGTGAATTTCTTTTCTTATGTCATCAATTAATGAATCATATTTTTTAACTCTATCCCATTGTTCGACTATTGAATATGACTTTTGATACAATTCATTAACGAAAACAATAAGAAAAGAAATTGATCGTGTACCAAAAAATGATCTTGTTTGCAGAGCCAAAAACTAGTTGCACAGAATTTTGTCGATTTTAAGAAAAAAGTGCAACTATAGAATAAGCTGTTGTTTGTAAATTGTGGAGCTTTTTACGCTGTATCTTGTGGCGTATTTTGTTTTTTTCTAAACACAGCGCATTAGGTGATGAAAAAATGAATCGGAAAAGGTGCTTTTTTGTCCGAGAGAGACTAAATATTTATTCATAAAAAAACGACTCTGTATTCAGATAAAGTATTTCAAGAAATTCAAAATTTAATGAACACTTTATCTTGGAACTTAGCTGCAGGTATTCAATGTGAATTAATTTTGTAAAGACCTCTCAAAGTTTTCTCAATATTCTCGAGCCTTAATCAATAGAAATCTTATGAGTCCATATTATGAGAGAGCATAAAAGTCTGATTTTTACTAATTGTTTTGCGATCTCATCCGGTGTCCTTGAAGATCAAACATGTGAGTGAATATTTTACTCGAAGATTATTTTAACAGCAGCTAGAAAGAGAAACAAAATTGATAAAAGATTAGAATTGATGGCTATATTGTTGTCACATGATCTACTAAGACTGAAAATATGACAGATAACTTATTTCTCATCGAGTGTTTTCTTTGTTTTTATTCGAATTTTTTTATCGACTTTTTTCAGATAAATTTTCGAACGAAAATGGGCTCTAGTAACAGTGTCAATATCACTATTAATCTTGATCGATTGAATCCATTATTTTACGCGGGTGAATCAATATCAGGAACAACCACTGTAAATATGAAAGAAGGACAAGTCAAAATCGACGAAATATTTCTTGTATTGAAAGGCGAAACTGGTTATACAACAACCCATACTGTTCATGACTCAAATGGGTCAACAAGCACGGTGATTGATTATCATACAATATCTTTTTTTTCAGAAAAACAAATCTTAGAAAGTTCAAGACCGGGAGAAAAAGAATTAGTTTATCATGCTGGACAGCATTCATGGCGATTCGATATTCAATTACCAGCTCAACTTCCACCGACAATTAATGAATCACACAAATATCCACATGTTCGATATTATTTAAAATTTGTCATCGATAAACCTTGGTACAAACGAAATATCAATGAAACTCTCTGGTTGACAGTATTTCCACACATCAATCTTTTGAGTAGCCCAGAGTGTTTGAGGCCATCAATATTTGCTAATCATAATCGAAAACATGTGACTCTGAAGGGAAATATAAATAAGCTAGGTTATGTACCTGGTGAGATGATTACGGGAACCTTAGAAATTGAAAATCCGGAAAAAATTTTATTGAAACAAATTAATTTAAATTTGGTTCAGCACTACCAAATTGAGTGTAATAAGGGAAAAGAAATAATCGTTGAAACAATTCTACCGACCATTGTTAATAGAAAACAGGAGAACATAGTGGAAAAATTTTCTGTACTTATTCCACTTGCACATATGGCTCCATCGTATACATTTAATGGCGGTTTTCAGCATACGACTAATGTTCTTGTCAATTACTTTCTAGAATTTGATGTTAAAGCTGAAGGCATGTTTACAAACTTCGATACCAGTATACCCATTACAATAGGAACTGAATCCGATACAAAACCAAATCAGTATCCGCTCAATCGCGAACATAACTTGTTACCTAATTCTCTTTCTTATTATCCAGAAACAATCATGCATGACGAATATCCTCCGCCAAGTTATTATTCTATTTCAAATTGAACTAGATGGTCACTAATACGTATAACAGTAGCTAACATTCTTATCCATATTATAGTGCCATTAATCAACATATTAAAAAATAAAAACTTTTCTTTGATCCTATTTTTTATTACTCTCGTTTGACAGCGTGGGTAAGGGTGGATTGTGTACGTGTGCGGATGGGTATGAAGATGTTGGTAACTGTGGATATGGCGTGTTGAGATACGATGGAATGATATGAGGTTGCATGAGGCGCTTAGGTTTTGGTGGCGTTGTGAAAGAGTTAGAGGAGGAGAGAGTCTTCTATTCATCCATACCTGTATGTGTTGACATTCATTAACAGAAGATGTAAATTTCGCATATGTATTTTCCATTATGATTTATAAGTATAATACCCCGACTTGTTGATATGGAAGCAATTAAATAAGTATTCTCATGTGAAACGGGGTGTGGGTGTGGGTACAGCTGTGGTTATGCGTTCTGATGGAGACTACACCCACACCCACACCCTTATCGTATTACACCGCGCAAGTAGGGTAATGGTAAGCATGTTGGAAGGTAGTGTATGGTTAGGCTTAGAAAGTTTTTCTCAATCAGGATACATAATATGAATAACAAAGCATACCTGTCGTAGGTCCACTTATGATAACACAACACTCTCAGCAGGCATATATCACAGGTGGATATCGAGAATGATTATTGGAAGCACCCTAGAAATTAGGTACTTTAACTTTGATTTTTTTAAAGTTAAAGTGTTAAAGTGGCTTACTTTAACACTTTTTTTGAAGTGTTTTTAAAGTTAGTACCACCCCTAGACTTAACCCACAGGTGCTTGACAGGCAAAAATCAGCGCAGAGGTTTTTTCTAATATATTACGACTTTCTATCTCCGGAGAATCCTTGTAAAAAGAAACTGAACGAATCGTTTCCACTCTCAGCTATAATTTTTGGTCCCAATCTTGAGTCGAGCAAATTCATACTGGGAACAAATAAGCGATTTACAAGACAATGAGAACAGAAGGCGTCGAAGCGACGAGTCGAGAGGAGCACCTCGGCAGGGCGCCGACGGCCGATGAGGAGCTGGCTTTTTTACTTCAGCTGAGTGTCATTTTTCTTAAAAAAATCAGGCAGTCTTCTATTCTCACATTGAGAGCATTCCAACGAAACGCTACAGAATTGATATCACCTGAGTATTTATCAAATGAATCGGAGATCAATAAATCTCTTTGATGAAATGGAGAAGAAGAAAAAATTGTGAGTGTCCGAGGTATCATCGCAGCTTCTGTTGAAAATCTGTACACTGACAAGCTACATTATAGAGAATAAAAAAGCGAATTTAGAAATATCCATATGAATTCGTCAGTAATCTTCTGCTTACGTAAACATACGGTATTCAATAAAAAAAATTCCATTTATAATTTTCTAATTAAAAAATCGGCAGCAAAATCATATAGACTTTTATACAAAAATCGAATTAAAGTTCATTGTCTGAGTGTTTTTCTAGAAAATAAACAGTCTACAGAACTTTCTATTTTTAAGAGAAAATTTTAGTTATTCTCTACGGCTAACTTTTCTATGATTTAAATCGGTATACAACTTAATGCTTTGATTTTTTGAGATCTCATATCATCAATAGATTTTCATCGATCATTTAGAATTTTCGTTTCAAGGTCAGCAGATTATTCATCACTCGAGTAACAACTTATATTAGTTGCTGAATATAAAATTAGCTTAGCTAACCCAATGTGAAGAAATAAGTCTGGGTGTATGTAGTAGGCGATAGTATTTCATAGAAGCAATATAATGAGCACCTAACTCATTATTTTCAAGATCACATCATCATTTTTTTCAGAAAAAGGTAAGTGAATCGCTAAATGACCGCTACTTTTTATTGTTTACAAAAGACTTTGAAGAAAACTATTGAAGATTGGAATAATATGATCTTCGTATATTCAGTGCTTATATTGTGTAAAATTGTTTAATAAATCAACAAAAGAGTCTTGGATTTATCGAAGTTCTTATAAGTATGTAAACTTTTTTATTGGTTCGAGCATAAGACGAAGCAATATATCTTTTAAAATTGAATCTTACAATTTTTCAGTAACGATTCAATTCTTCTAATCAGAAAAATATTAGTCGTTTATTGGTCTTTTTTTTTTATTAAAGAGAAGTATATTTATAGTACTTCGTTTGATATTTTTGATCTTTAATAAGCCGTACATGAAAAGCAATTAGAATAAGATATTGTGTCGCTTGAATGTGTTTGAGAAGACTACGACAAGGCGTTTGGATCAGAAAACATCTTCACGTTTTAAAATCACAAAGCCACTATGTAATTACTCAACTTTTCACTTAAAGATGAAATGACAAGGTGACGTCATAGACATTTGAAGAAACACAAGTAATCATTTCATTTTTCTTTTTTCTCTATTGTTCTCTCGTATACGGAGTACTGCAAAAAAAAGCAACCGATAAGCAAATTCTACCATTCTTTTTCTTATCTTTGCTTTGTTTTCTTTGTATTTGACCGCTTACATCCATATTCTAACTTAAAGCAATAAGAACGACAAAGAAGAGAAAATAAAACGAGTTATTAAATTAGATTAGAATTTCATATAAATATAGTACATGTGTCAGTGTAATTGTTCTTTAACTACAAAACTAGGGTAGTGCATGAGCAATAAATGTCCAACTCAACGTCTCAAGAAATAACTGCAGCTCAATGTCAATTTCTCACAATTCCTTACAATCCAGCAGCTCATCCTAGACAAATTTCTTTATTAGATACAAATGGTCAACAAATTCTATATACATTAATAGAATCGAATCAAGATAGTTCAGTACAAGTTGCTTCGCAGTTGCAACGAAATAATATCACTGCAACATCAAGTGCAACGCATATTTCACCGAATATGAATGCATGTTGTATCTGCAATAGTCATGCTGTTGCTAAATGTAGTTACGGAATAAGTTCTGGAAGACCTTGTGGTCGTTTATTATGTTTGTCGCATATATATGAATTACCGAGTGCAAATGGTGGACGATATCCACATTGTCCTGAACATTATCAACATATTCAACAAAATAAATGTCATGTTATGTAACAAAGTATTATTTAAATAAAATGATCACAGTGAACATTACTGAGAACGAAGATAAAATGTTTAAATCAATACAAAAAAAAACTAATGAAAACTATTTCTTGTAATTTTAATGTTTTAATAAAAAAGAAAATGAATAAAATTGTTTTTATTGATTGAGAAAAAGATCAAGTGTAATGTAGATGAAATTTGCAACTATTGAGCAATCGTTGGAAATGCGGTGATACGAAGGAGTGCTGAACCTATAGGCATAAGTTTGATGGCTTCGTCAGGTTCTGAATTTTGAACTGGTGACGTTAGCAAAACACTACTGACGTTTTCTCCGTCAGCCTTCCAATTGAGAACATGCCGTACTCGAACTTCAATTTCCACATGAACAGTTACTCAATTAAATGAACTGACATCATCGTTCTTTTTTTCTCTGCGTCGAACGACCCATTGTTCTTGATGCGATAAAAGTAAACCCTAATTTCAATTCGATCTCGGTAAAACTTCGTATACAGGCTAATTGTATTACCCATCGATATGATTCCATTGTTCATCAATATCTAATGAAAATGATAATGATAATGGATCATAGGGTGTGGGTGTGCGGTGTGGCGGCTGTGGGTATCGTGTGACTCTATTTATAACGACACCCACCCACATCCACACCCTCCCTTCAGTCGAGGGAACAAGCAAGTGAGCTACAGAATCTAAAGAATATCCATTGATTTTTCGTTTTATAGACATTCTAAATATTTGGTGTTGGTATGCAGAGCGATGTTAGCTGTAAAGAAAATTTGCACACAAACACGCCCTTCGCTTTGTAGTGAAATAAGTGAGTAGTTAAGTAAGTATATGAAAAATATCGAATGAAAAAAAGGAAAAAATTGAAAGATTAATCTAGACACATAGAGTAAAGAAGAAGATAAACTGTAGAGATATAAATTGATCACACAAAGTTCGTGCTCGTTTCATTGGCCATATAAATAAAAAAAATAGTTATTTTCGGTCAAATAAAAATACCATCCAAATACAACCATGGTACTCCAGGTTTCTGTTTAATTTAATTTGAACATTACATTTATTAAAGAAAATAAGTAAATAAATAAACGCTCTATGTCCATACAACAGATGGAGCTATGCCTAAAGGAAGAAATGAAATAATCGATAATTGAGAAATTGGTTGATTCGATCGGAAAATTATTGGTGACATTCCATTCTCTCAATTATGAAAAATTTCTCATTATTTCCTGACAAAACTACTATCTTGTTTTGTGTTCTTGTCTAAGAAAAGTATTTTTTCTGTGTCGCAAACTAAAACAATTGCTCTATTTATCTAGTCATGGCTTCAAACAGTTACCTTAGATAATCGATCGAAAATTCTCACCTTCGCGAGTTATTAAACTAGGAAAAATTTCTTCTTCATTAAGAAAATAAACTGAATATTCGACAACAAGACCTTGGATATCTTTTAATTTTTGTTGTGCCTTAAAAGAAAAACTAAAATAGTGATTTAAAAATTCTATGAAATATATTACTCCTATTGGATTAGTATCTTTTATTGCTGACACCTGGAACAATTTCGGGACTTCGCAAAATTTTTTCACACGATTAGTTGGCATTGTAGGAAAAACTTCTTCATAAATGGCTGTATTTTTTCTTACAACTTCTCGAAAATAAGAATAGAATTCGTCTGATATGGGATCAGTTGTATCAATCTTGTTTGGATTGCCGAATTGAACGCCTAACAATATTTTGAAAGCGCAAAACAGTTGTCAATAAAAAATATTATTATTTTGTTTCAAAACATACTCAAATAGCTTTTTTCGCCAACTAGAACAAACTTTTCCTACGAGGACTGTTTGCCCATTAAATCGGCCTTCTTCTTCTTCAAGATCATTTATAACGACACACAATTCACTATCACATATACCAAGTAATGAACAATCATTCATATTTGTACTACCACATATAGTCATACGATCATCAATGATCATTAATGTGGAACCAACAAATATTATTTCAGTTACCTTAGGAAAAAAACAAAAAGAATATCGACATTGTATGATTAATAAAATCTGTTACCTACTAAACATCTCATAAGAATATCATGCGTGCGCATACAAAAAAAACTAATATAATCATTTGGTGAAATACCTTAAAAGTGAAAATAGAATAACATCGGATAATTTCATTTTGAATTATTAGTCTATTTTCGATAAATTCGAGATAGATTCAGATATGTCTATTGCGTATGAAATTTGTCAGGATCCTATTAGAAATTAAAAGTTGACACATCGCTATCCTATCTCAATAAACTATAAAAAATAGTTGACGTTGTTATGATAGTAATCGCAAAGAAAGGTTTCACTTTTTATTACGATGGCTATACTACTAGACAAGGACTGCTATTACTAATTCAAGAGATTCACTAGTCTTACAGTGTTATATTTGTGGTCGCTGCAATTTCGTGCAGATACACACAGATTCGCTTGGTTCTTTAAAAAGAAGCTATCGCTACTTCGAACAAAACCGTTAAAATGATTCGTCCTATTCATGTTGAATAATAAAAATCTGGAGAGTACAAATTTCAAAATATATTATTGATGAAAGTTCTAATATTTGACTCTACTAGCGGTAAAATCGAACCGTAAATAGACTGTGGGTATATGTGTAGGACTCCCGATATGAGATTATGGAAACCCGATAGCTAATCGCAATCAGCAATATATTTCTCATCGATTGTAACGACTGATCAGCTCCGATTTATTAAACTTTATTAATAAACTCTACTCGATATAATAACTTTGGAAAAGAAAATATCAGGCATCAGACAAGGCTGAATTATAAGTTTAGAATTAAATTATAATTCAGGGATATATTTAGCGGAAGAATTATTAGGTGGACCTTCCTCCCCCGCTCACAAGAAAAACAATTTCACTGAAAATATGCAAACATGTTCTTCATTGAGATTTAAAAAAACAAATTCACAATAATTGAGCGTTCGAGGGTATGAGTGTGGGTGGGGTGGGTGTGGGGTGTGGGGTGTGGGTGTGGGTGTGTGTTGGTGTGGGTGTGAGTGTGGGTGTGAGTATGGGATGTGGTAGGTGGGTGTATGGGACTGGGCGTGGGTGTCCATGATTGAAAAATAACAATACCCACAAACCACAACGACACCCACACACCCCACACCCCATATATACATAATTATCG